CCTAGGATGCTTTCTCAGCTCAGACACCTGGCTCTCCCTCCATGCTCCGGCAGGCCAGTCTGTGTTGCAACAGAGCGAAGTCAGATTTAATCCCAAATACCAAATTATTTATTCTTTTGTCAAACTTTAAAGGAGAAAATATATGTTCAGTTTACAATTTATTTTTAAATGTCCCTGAAAAAATTTTACTTCTATAGAGTAAGAAAACTTAAGAGGAAAAAAATGTCCATGTTAAAATTGGTATTATGATCTCACACAGATGAGCCATTAATGATAAGCTAGATGCTCTTTATAAAAATAGCCTCCAAAAAAAGCATTATTTTTTTACTGTTTAACAGTATAACAACATAAGTTCACTGGAGGAATGGGTGGGGGGGGGGCAGGGATTTAAAAAGTATAACAAAGAAACAAAAGTCATTTATTCCACCACTCAAAGGTAACTGCTGTTAACATTTTGGTCTATATCTTTCTAGACTTTTATATATGTATATATATATATATATAGATAGATAGATATAGATATAGATATATAGATAGATATAGATATAGATAGATAGATAGAGATAGAGATAGAGATGTATATATATATATGTATATATATATATATGTATATATGTATATATATAGTCCGAAAAAGTATACACATTTTAAGAAAGGAAAAAACTATTAAAATTTTAATATTCAATATATACTGATAGCAAAAGATGAACACACACACACACACACACACACACACACACAAACACACATACACCAGGATATACAACAAAGGCTTGCCTTGGGAGTGGGGAATTTGGGCCAACTAAGGAAGAGTGGGATTTTATTTTTTTGTAGGTGTTTTAATTATGTTCAAGACCAATGGCTTTAAAAGAAGGAAGAGACCTGCTCCCCAGGCTATGTTGTTTATTCACACATTCACTCACTAATTCATTAAATAGATATTAAGCACTCTCTGTGTGTCATGTACTGGGTTAGGGGCTGTTCATTACATGGGCCTGGGGCTTTCCCCTACAAGTGGTGCTAATGGCATCACTAAAAGACATGTGGCAGGGAGAGGGCCTAAGGCCCCCCAAGCTTTTTTTGTCATCTGGGTACGGCTTCATGGAGATCTAAGGGGCCAGGAGGGCAGATATTTTGGTGGACCAGAGACAGCAGGAAGGACCGGAGGGAGAGGCTCTTACCTCCTGAATGGAAAGGCAGAGGCAGACTGGGATTGGTTGAACCATTTTCTTACTTAGCCTGCTTGGCTTCATGATCTGAGGAAAAGGTTATTTAATAGTTAATAAAAGAATAGTTACTATTTATAGTCTGTTTTTTGCCAAATAGTGTGCTATGCACTTAACCATTTCATTTGCTTCTCACATGAACTCTGTAAATTAATAACTAACATTTTCAGCACTTTCTATGTGGCAGCCACAGTTGTAAGATTTTATACGCAGTCAATACATTGAATCCTTGTGACAAACCTGTGAGACAGGTCCTGTGATGGGGGAAATGGAAGTTCGAGAAGGTCACATAACCAGAAGTGACAGACCAAAACCTCTACTGTATTTTTGCCCACAACTGTTTAAGTTACTTAATTAATGAAAAATGGTGTTTCTGATTAATAAGAAATCCCCATCTGTCACCAAATTCAGTTCTGAAAGTTTGATTGTCACTTCTTGTACACTTTAACATCGAAGCCAGTATAAGAAAACATACTCTTTAAATGTTTACTAAAATTAAAAAATGTATATTTTAAATTAATCTTAATCTTAGTGGAGTTGATTTCTTTTGGGAAGAGACTTTCTTCCTCGATGAACACATTTCATTTTTCTTTCTCATGTTTTTAAAGAAAAAAATAATATGGCTATCCCTCCATGGACAACATTGGGATTTCTTTGGCAACTAATAACCTTTCCTTGTTTTAATGACTATTTTTTTTTATTGTGGTAAAATAATACATAACATAAAATTTACCATTTTAATAATTTTTAAGTGTACAGTTCAGTGGCATTAAGTACATTCACATTGTTGTGCAACTGGCATCACTGTCCATCTCCAGAGCGTTTTCATCTTCCCAAACTCTGTCTCCATTAAACAGTAACTACCCATTCTCCCCAATGGCTGTTATTTTTAAAGGTGATAGATAACTATATTAAGCTTACTTTTCTTTAGGTGAATGAGCACATAATTGTTTTAGGAATATGAAGGAAAAGGATATTTGCTAATATGATGGCACACACAGGACCTACTGACAAAGGTATATAATTTGTAAAAATAGCTGAGTGGGCGAAATTCTGATTTTCAGTTGCCTCAGGCACTTCAGTGCACTTCTGGTAATGATTTTCCTTGGGCATGTAGCTACCCTGACAGAAATCACATCCATGCATGAAGAGTGAGCTTAATTATACATAACTACATATCTCAGATGAAGTTTTACATTTTTTTACATATACTTTCTTATTGATAAAAGATGAGACACTAAATTCAAACTGATCTCAAAAAAGTAGTGTGAGTTACCCTGAGAGCATGGAAGTCTTACTGGATGAGTTATCCATTTTGCATAAACTTGCCTTCTCCCTTCCCCTGTTGGGAATTGTTTTCATCACATGGGGGTTCCACAGTCTCATCTGGTCCTTGTTGTGACTCTGAGACAAGGAAATGCACAAAGGCCGATTTAGGGTTTTGGGTGTAGTTGGTGGTGCAGCAAAACAAACTGTTCCTATTAAGAATGACTCTTCTTTACATCCTCAACTCATTTGTACTGAGCCTAAGCATTCAAGCTCAAAATAGTAAAAATTAAAAGCAGTCAAAATGGTTTGATTACTAATGTATGCCTCAGTCATTGTGCTAAATGCTTTACATGTATGATTTCATTTAATCCTCACAGTCCTGTGAGATAGGAGTCAAATTCCCATTTTACAGATGGGAAAACTAAGGAACAGAAAGATCATTATATAATTTGCCAGAGGCACCCAGTTAATAAGTAACAGACTGAAGATTCAAACCCAGGCAGTCTCGAGTCCTTGCTCCTAGCTATTGTTAACACACACTCCTGGTCCATATCAGGCTGGACAAGTTTCCCTTGTAGGAGATTCAAGGTTAAACCAGCCACCCAAACAGACAAAGCTCTCCCTCTCCCCCTCCCTCTCTCCCTCTCCCGCTCCCTCTCTCCCTCCCTCCCTCCCTCCTCTGTGTGGCTGAGGTGAGCGAGGGTGTCTCAGCTAAGGTCAGGCACTGGATCTGGTAATGAAAGCTCTCTAGCCAGGGAGGGAAATCGGAAAGGCAAAAATGGTCTCCCTCTCCCCGCATTTGTTATCGGGTTGGTGAGAGGGGATGAGGTAGGGACATCTCTAAGTAGACTTCCAAAGGAGTCATGTCATTCTTTGTTCGTTCTCTCTCTCTCTCCCTCTCTCTCTCTCTCTCTCTCTCTCTCTCTCTCTCTCTCGTTTTGTGCCCCTTTGCCCTAGGTCTCCAAATTGCTGCCTCCTCCTGAGAACTGCTCTGTCTTGAGGGGACCACTTCTCCAGGGCTTACCTCATATTTACTCTTATTCCCACATCACCAGGAGAAGCCCTTCCTGAGTGTAACTGGTTCAGCTGGTTGTTAGGATAGTGGTAGGAAATTAATGGGCTCCAAGGTGGGAATGACTCTCCCCCGCCTCACAATTCCCCACTTCTCCCAGGAAAATAGCCATGTCTACGTTTTTGAAAGAAGTTTTAATGCAAATGATTCCCCAAGGAAGATATTTTTAAAAATTATTTATTTTTTTCAGTTGCAGTTGACATTCAGTATTATTTTATGTTAGTTTCAGGTGTACAGCATAGTGTTTAGACAATTATATAATTTATGCAGTGATCCTCCCAGTTAGTCTAGAACCTACCTGGCACTATACATAGTTATTACCATATTATTGACTATATTCCCTATGCTTTACATCCCCATGGCTATTTTGTAACTATCAATTTGTTCTTAATCCCTTCACCTTTTTCATCCAGGAGGGAGACATTTTTGAACAGAGAGGAGTGTTGATGGATTCTGCCAGAAATTGAGGAGGCTCAGTGCCTGTGTCCCATGGATGGGTCATGGTGATCCCAGAGTTTTCGGAAGGACCTCAGAGTAGAACCCGGCCTGCTCGGTCTCTGGTCTCCCCTATACTTTTGCAGGGCCAGAAATGCTCCCCTGAGCCCTGCTTACAGATACAATCATCCACACATCACTTACCTAGAGGAGAGGTAACGTTTCCGAGGAATATTCCTAAACCCAAAGAATGCGTTTGCAGATAGTTTTCATCATTTTCGTGAGCTCAATTCATGTTTCAGGAACAAACACTTTCATATCTGTAGGTGCACCTTTGTGAATAATTTTGTAGACCTTGAGTGCCATATCCCTCTCAAATCAAGAGATAGACTGCTTCCCCAAATCATGCATGAGTCGTCAGTCTACTTCTGCTCATTAACTGCCCCCCATCACTATATATCCCGTAGAGGTTAGCGGTGTTTACTATGTTGCACTTGAATAATTGTACCACACATTACATGAAAAATAATTTCCGATTTTCATCCTGAAGCATAGTTTTTATTTCAAAATGGTGACATAATAATATTCAGCATGTCATTATAAGACAGCTCCATTTAACAGCAGTGCCAGTTTGCAGTGGAGTCCTAGGAAGGATTTGTTAGGACATGATTAAAGTTATGTCAGATAAATAAAAAGAGTGAAGACTGGATTTAGAAGGGTGGCCTATAGGATACCAACTGAGGTCGCTAGAGATATTCTTTCACTCCCCAGCACGCTTTCATTTTCTTTCTGGCCCCTTTTTACATCACCGTTACAGTATAGTATACACCACCTTAACCTATTCTGAAAGCGCTGCTCCATTTGGTCAAGTTACCCCAAAGCTACCACCTGGGTCACACCATGAAAAGAAAAAGAAGTGTTTTCAAATGAAACTAATCCAAGAGCAACCAAAATCGGCTTATTTTAATTTTCTATCCTTTATTTCATTTTAATTATAGCCCCTTGGAGCCAGTGACTATTTGGAACTATCAAAGAATTTTGATACAATATTTTTGCGAAACATTCCACAATTTTCGCTGGCAAAAAGGACTCAAGCTCGAAGATTCATCACTCTCATTGATAACTTTTATGATTTCAAGGTAAGGATATAGTGTATTTCCTTCCAACTGACGTTTTAAACTGTGGAGCCAGATTGCCTGGGCTGAAACGCTGGCCTACCATTTAGTTCACTTCCCTGTGCTTCAGTTTCCTCATTTGTAAATTGGGATAATAATATTTTTTACTTCAGAGAATAGTGAGGACAAAATTAGCCAATCCACATAAAGCATTTAAAAACCATGCTTGGCACAAGCTGAGTGCTATGTAAGTACTACTAGCAGCAGTACTCATAGGAGTATTAGTAGTCGTCTAGTAAAACTCCCATCGTAAGACACTCTGCTATATTAATGATTTTGTCATCCAACTAGACATATCATGTGCTTTTTCTATGATGCTGTACAACACAATGCCTCACCTAGACTGAGTGGTCAATGAATATTTGTTGCATGAATAAATGATTGGACTGATAAAATAATGAATGAACAAATGAATGGATGAATGAATGTATAACTACAGGACCCTCAGTATTGGAGCTCTCTCTCCCTATGATCCAGAAACCCCAGGAACTAGCATTGTACCATCTTGTTGTTTTTATCTGTGTGCTTTAGCATGAATTGCAAGCCATTGTCCATTCATCAGAGGCAGTGCAGCCTAGTGGTTAGGAGGGGCCCCAGGCCCAGGCTGTCTACCTTGAGGACCAGCTTAACCTCTTGAGATTCAGTTGCCTTCTGTAGACATAGCGGGTAACAATAGTACTTACCTCCTACACTTGTGAGGATTAAATGAGCACGTAAAGCACTTAGAGCGTCTTATGGCATATTGTAAACTTTCAGTGGAGGTTAGCCACTATTAGTACATATCTGTAAATATATATTTTATGGTAACAGCATAAGTACAACTTCAAATTAGAATTAATGTAAATATTTTACTGTCAGATACAGTTTTTCTCCCTATTCCTGTACAGAAATAGGTCTAGCAGTGATTCTAAAACTGAAGGGACTTTAGAGGGAGGAGGAAAATACCAGAATCTGCTAGGAGGGAGAGGTGAGACTTCCATGTTCCATTTATTCGTTCATTAACCTTTATCATGTCAAGCACAGTGCTAAACACTAGAAATTCAATGACTAGCAAAGCCAGACATGGCGCCTACCTGCTATTATCAGAGAAACGTTAATTAAATGTCCACAGAACTAAAGGTAAAATCACCACTGTGAGATGACCTCTCAGAAAGAGAGAACGGAGTATGGTGCCATGGGCTGAGGTAGGCGTGGACACGGGGAAGTCCTGCTGAGGACCACCCACATCAGAACCATCTGGGCTCCTAAAGATCTAGATTCCGGAGCCCACCCATCAGGCAAATGAGGACCAGGGATGGGTCTGGAACTGCATGTTCACAAGCTCTGCAGGTGCTTCTCAAAACGCTGAGAAGTGGTAGCCAAACTCCAGTGCAGGCTGAAAGGGATCACCAGGGTGGGGAGTTCGCAGCAGAGGCCCTGCGATGGGCCTGAGCATGAAGGGGAGCCTGCCTTAGTGAGTGACCTCAAAATCTGCATGCCCCCATGGGTCCACGTGCATGTGATCAAGGAGTCAGGGGAGGCAGGAGGCTGAGAACCATAGCTTGGGAATCAAGTACTACCCCTTGTCTGCTGGGTCACTCATCCAGAGACTCTGCTTCAGAATAGTCACATGGAGTCTGGAATAAAGGGAGTGGGCCCGGAGGTGACACTCTGTGTTTAGAGGGCTAATGCTTCAAGAAGAAAGTGGTGCAGGGACATTAGTAGGGGTTTTTAGAGTGCAGGGTTGATAAACTTTTTTGTTTTAATCTTTCAGCTAGGAATACCTTGAAGAAAGTTTACTGTCCCCATCCCTAATCCTATCTCACGCCCACTGTTTCACTTCTTAATTAGAGAGAAAAAAATTTTTTCTAGCAATATGATGGAATACCAGAACCACTCTACTAACATTTGCTTTAATTAAATCACACATTTAGAGTCTATACTCTTTTTTAAAGGAGTAGTCGAAATTATCTTATTTCAGAAATTAGGAGCATTAAGCAGACTTTATTCTAAAATATATTTGTGGGAATTTGTGAAATTAGGGTATTTCCATCTAAATAATGGGAAAAAAGTGTCATTTGTGATTAAAAGAATTTATAAGAGGCAGTAGAAGGCCATTTGGAAATGGAAAAGCTAGTCCCAAATGTCAATACATTATTTAAAAATATTGGCATATTTATTTAAATAATGATTTTAAAAGGATAACTGTGAGTCCTGGAAGCAAATTCAGGACTCTTTAAATATCAAGAAGAGTATATTTTGTATTTAAACTAGTGGATGTAAAATTTATAAAGATATAAAAGCTCTTTCCAATGTATGATCACATATACACACTCAAACACTTGTATAATAAAAAAATATGAATGTAAAACTTAGTCTTTTTGCAGAATGTCTTGGCATGATGCTGATATAAATGTACATTCTGGAAACTTGGAGTGTAATTAGAGTAGCAATGCACTGACCTTAGCAGTTTACCTATCCAGCAAAATGGTAACCTCTTTTCAGTGAGTCTGGGGAGCATCTTTGATGCACACAGAGACGGGCTTCAAACAGCTAGCTATAAATGTCACCTTTGGGGTGTCATGGAAAGACCATTGGACTTAGGACCAGAAGAGCTGGGCTGGCATTACAAGCTGAGGCCTCTCCAGGCCTGAAGCTGCCCAAGAAAACCTTTGCTCCCTACTTCACAGGATTGTGTAAACTGTGGGGAAATATTTTGAAAGGTACTGTGAAGTTTAACAATATCACTTTAAAAAGATCCAAACTATTAGAAAAAATATGGACATTTTAAAAGCAAAAACCTAAGCTCAGAGTTTGTCAAAACTCTGTTATGACAGAGTTTTATTATGTGAGAGATTTGTTCTTACCTTCAACTCGTGAAGCATCAGGAGTAACACCATTTTCACATTTTCCTGTTTCAGGTGCGCATAATTTGTTCTGCATCGGCTCCTTTATCAAACTTATTTTTGCATCAACATCATGACAGTGAGTTGGAGCAAAGCAGAATACTGATGGATGATTTGGGGCTGAGCCAGGTAGGTGATATTACCATAATCTTTTTTTTTTATTATAAAACAGCTTAATTGTTTTTGGTTTGATACATGGCTACATTTTGAAGAAGGAATGCAAGTATATATTTAACCATTGATTTGCTGCTTTCTTCTAAAGCCAGTATAGCAGACTCACTAAATACAGAGAATTACAGTCTTAGAATGGAAGGAAACTTAGTGATTGTTTTTGCTTATGTCAAAAACAAAGTCGAGCTTGGTGGACTGATGGGCACACATGCGGTCACACCGCTGACTAAATGCAGCCCAGAGCTTATTCCACCACACTGAGCTGCCTTTTCTGGATATTCTTCTTCATGTCCCGGGTGTGCAGAGGGCACAATATAGTATCCAGGCGTGTGGGCTGGCTATTCCAGGACCATGGAGAGCCTAGCAAGGTCCCTGGCTTAAAAAGAAATCCCAATTGAAAAATTTTAAAAAGGTGGGGGGAAAGGTAAAGGGAATAAGTGGTCCAAATTTCCAAGTATAAAACAAATAAGTCATGGGGATGTAATGTACAGCATGGGGGAATATAGTCAATAATATTGTGATAGAGTGGTACAGTGTCAGATGGTTGTTGGACTTATCATGGTGATCACTTCTTTAGGTCTATAAATGTTGAATAACTATAGTGTACACATGAAACTAATATAATATTGTATGTTGGCTATATTTTAATAAAAATCTTATTTAAAAAAAGAAATATTATCCAAATATTAAAAAGAAATCACAAGCCCCATTCCATAAACACTTATGGAGCACCTGTGGGTGCCGGGCTCTGAGGACGCTCTGTAGGGAACAGTGCTGGGCCAATTTTCCTGGTGCTTGGAGTCTGGCGATTCACCGCACACCAACCAGAAGTGACTTTGCATTTCCTTCTTCTGTATAAATATAAATAAGCACTATAGGCTATATTTCTCAATTGTAGACAATTGAAACATTAGTTAATGCTATCTGACACCATATACAAAAACTAACTCAACATGGATTAAAGATTTGAATATAAGACCTGAAACAATAAAATACATAGAAGAAAACATAGGCACTAAACTTATGGACCTTGGTCTCAGAGGGGTTTTTGTGAACTTGACCCCAAAGGCAAGGGAGATATTATAAAAGAAAAAAATTAATGAGTGGGATTATATCAAACTAAAAAACTTCTGCACAGCAAAAGAAACCAACAACAACAAAAAAGGGCAACCAACCAATGGGAGAAGATATTTGCAAATGACACCTCCAATAAGGGGCTAATATCCAAAATACATAAAGAACTTATACAACTCAACAACAAAAATACAAACAATCTAATTAAAAAATGGGCAGAAGACCTGAACAATTTTCCAAGGAAGACATACAAATGGCCAACAGATAGATGAAAAGATACTCAAAAATCACTACTTATAAGGGAAATGCAAATCAAAACCAGAATGAGATACTACCACATACCTGTTAAAATGGCAATTATCAATAAGACAAGTAATAACAAGTGTTGGAGAGGATGTGGAGAAAAGGGAACCCTTGTACACTGCTGGTAGGAATATAAATTGGTGCAGCCGCTATGAAAAACAGTATAGAGGTTCCTCAAAAAATTAAAAATAGAGCTATCATATGACCCAACAATTCCTCTTCTGGGTATCTACCTGAAAAATTTGAAAACACTTATTTGTAAAGATATACAAGTATATACCTCTGTGTTCACTGCAGCATTATTCACGGTGGCCAAGACATGGAAACAACCCAAGTGTCCTTTGACAGATGAATGGATAAAAAAGATGTGGTACATATATGCAATGGGATACTACTCAGTTATAAAAAAATAAAGATGAAATATTGCCATTTGCGACAACATGGATAGATCTCATATGCAATGGAATACTACTCAGCTATAAAAAAGATGAAATATTGCCATTAGTGGCAACATGGATAGACCTCGAGAGTATTATGCTAAGTGAAATAAGTCAGACGGAAAAGGACAAGAACCATATGATTTCACTCATATGTGGACAATAAAGCAAAAAGCAACAAATTAACAGAACAAACAAATGAACACACAAATTCATACAGACAACAGAATGGTGGTTACTGGAGGAGAAGGGGAGGATGAAGAGTGTAAAGGGGGTCAAATATATGGTGACAGAAGGAGACTAGATTTTAGCTGGTGAGCACACAATAAAGTTATAGATGTTGTATTATAATGTTCACCCGAAATTTATATAATGTTATTAATCAATGTTACCCCAATACGTTTAATTTAAAAAGAAATGTTAGTCAAAAACTTAAATATATGCTCACCCCCAAAATGAGGGGAACCCCATTCTCCCAGCCCCAGAGGTAAAAGGCTATTTGGAATGTGAAAACAGTTCCTTATTGACCTGAGTAGAAATTATGCATTCTTAGGAGTTTGGGAAAATGAAGCCTATAATTCTTTAAAAAGCAAACTTTCAAAATATGATTATGTGTAGAAATAAATAGCTGCTTATAAACACATGTGCTGAGACCTTTGGAAATGGTGGTTTCTCTAAGAGCAATACTTATATCTAAATAATGTCTTTGACAATTTGAAAGAGTACACTTGAGAAGCTATATCATCTCAGTTTTTAAAGTCCTTTCAATCATTGGCTTTTAGATTTCTGCCCCCGCCCACCCACCCCGGCCCCCGGCCGGAGCATCAGGGTTCAGATATAAGGCAAAGTAAGGTCAGCAGTTGGGGCTAATAATATATGTATGAAGAAATCAGGGCATGTGACCGCAGGGTTGTGTGGCTTTACAGTGGGCCAGTAGGGAATATGGACTTAGGAGTCCAGAGCTTTTCTCTGAGCGTATAATAGCAAACCCCTAAAGTAAGAGACAAAAATTCAACATCCACTTAATGGCTGTGGGCCCCGGTTGGTATCACTAGTCCCAGGCTGTTTACTGGGCTCACAGAGGGCTCCCCAGCTGAATCCTAGACGGGAGGATTAAGTGTCCCAGCAGCTCAAGACCAGAAGCATTACCAAATTAAGCTCCCAGGCCCCACAGGAGAACTCTCAGTCATCAGTTTGGAAAAGTTTGTTCAGAGGTTTGTACTCAGGGCCTCGCTTTGGGAGTGTAACCCTGTCTATGATGCTTTGGAAGAGAGCATCATTCTCTTCCTAACTTACCAGAACTACTGTTTTTTGTCATTCATTATTTCTGGAATGCACTTTTGGAGAAAGAATTCCTTTTTTTAATCTGGAATGCCCTTCCTTAAGAAGAAAAGTTGGGTATGAGCAAAATTTTTCATATTTGGATTTTTGGGTGTCATTTTAGCTTTAATAATTCTAATCCTTTCCCTACTGTTTTCTCCCTGGTAATTTGTTTTAGTTATTGATTATTGGTTTAAATGAGTTGAGTCCCTAGTCTAATTTAAGAGATTGTATATGAAAAAAAAAGAATTCATACAACATTTTGTAATCCAAACGCATAAACCTAAAAAGTTGTTTTTTTTAACCTGCACTTAGTTCTGTAAATTTTTATTTGTGGTGGTTTTAATTGGTGCTAGGTTATTATTTTGTTTTGTTTTGTGTTTTGACCATCAGGACTCAGCGGGACTTTCCATGTTTACTGGAGAAGAAGAAATCTTTGCATTTCAGCGCACTATTTCCCGACTCACAGAAATGCAGACTGAACAGTACTGGAATGAAGGGGACAGGAGCAAGGCATAGCCATCACTTTTGCATGAATAAAACTCCAGACAAATGATTGCTGCAGGGAGAACTCTTTATTATGGGACTTGAAGGAATCATTTTCTCATCATTAATTATGCACTTTGTCCTCTGGACCATTGTAATCTAAAATTGCTGTCAAAGATGAATTAGTAAGTTAAAGCCATTTGTATAGGTCTACTCTTTTTGCCTATTTATTTGGCCTTATTTCTGCACCAGAAAATTAAAATCAGTACTCCTGAAAATTAATATAGGGCCAGACATTTGGCTTCATAGTAAGGTACCTGAATGAATCTTGAATACACAAACGCGGTAAATGCAGGGTATCTGGACATCTCCGAGCTCTGGCCACATGGTAGACACATGATAGAAACATATTTTTTACAAGAGGATTAAGAAAATCCCTACACTTCAATTCAAAGCAAAGGAAGTGTTCTGATCTTACAAACTAAAGCAAATAACATTTTAGAATTTGGGCTTATATATGTGCTTTTTGGGGGCTATATATTATACTAAATCTCCCAGGCCTTCAGGTTTCCACACAACAGAGAATATATTTTATAACCCTGAGGTTAAACTTGGCAGGCAGGACCTGATCTCCAGCAGATACAGAGTGACCTGAAAAAATTGAGGATTATGACACCATAGAATAAGGAGCAAGAATGTCAAATTCCAACTGACAAGCAGATCCCCCAACTCTGACAGCCAGAAATAGGACAGACACCAGGAATGGGGACCAGTGAGAGAGTGTCGGGAGTGGGCAGAGTCCTGGACACACCAAGCAGCAGAGTGGACTCCTGCCTACCTGAAGCCACAGGGCCCTAGTGGACAGCGGGTTCCTTCCGCTGCTCCTAAGCATTTGCTCAGGCTGCAGAATGCTACCCCCAACCCTTGCCTCTGCTTCTGCAGTGGGATGGACCTAATAGTAACCTGGAAAGCACACTTGATGAATCTACTTGAATAAAATCCAGTTTGTCCTTCACTGAGATCTTTGATTCATTGAAGTACAACCTGACTTTGCTAACTATTGTCACAGAAAGGATCTTGGTTGAGGCGTTACGAAAGGCTAAGTCCCTCTTCAAGGATAAAAAGAGAAAAGAAAAAAACGTAAAATCCACAAAGTCTTGTAAAAATCAAATATTTGGGGTGGGACAGACACAGGTGAGTCAGTACAAATAAATGAGTACTATCGTCAATGTAAGGAAGCTCTTTGAACCTACTTAATTTTAAGTGAATAATCTATCCATATTAGTATATTTTGAACATTAACCTAAGTCAAGCAGATAAACGGATATGGTACCAAAGTACAGAGAAAAGTTTAAATCAAAGCTTCTGAAACTTAAATGTGGTTAAAAAATAGTTTTATTGAAGTGAAACAGTGAGTTCAAAAAGAGGTTAAATAGGTTAAGAGGGAGAAAGGATGGGAAATAACCACTGTTTGCCAAGTTTATTGCTAGACATTTATATGATCTCAGATAAGAGTTAATTTACAAGCATTAATATAATCATCCCTGTTAATACTTAAGGAAACGGAGGCTTGGAAAAGTTAAGTAGCTTCACCTGAGATTCACAGTTTACAAAACTCATGTCCTATGTTTTATACCACACCACCTCTATAAAAAAAAGAAACATTTTTAATGTTGATTCATTTTTATAAAATTCAGTAAAGGTGAGTTTACAATAGAACCATTGCTTTGAAGTCAATAAATATAAAATGCTTAACTTTATTCTTTCAATCGTAGCATTTTGCTCTTCACATTTCTTTGATAATTATGCTGTACCTTCCTGAAAAGGTAGTGTGAATGGATGGACAGACAGATGGACAGCCTGATTGATAGAAACAGGAACTGTCTCTGAGTGTGTGGGAGTATGTGAACTAGTCCCCCACCCAAGTTCTGTTGTAAAAGCTCATTTGAGGTCAAGTATTTGGAACTAGAATTTTATTTTTTCATAGAAACAATAGTGTGTTGTTAGTTAGGGCCCTGGCTTAATGTACAGAAGACTCTCTGTGGAATTCTCAGTGTAGCTGCCCTATAATTTTGGTGGTAAAAAACTTAAACTCCTGAGCCAGCCTACTGGCTCAGTTGGTTAAGAGCTCGCTCAAGAGTTTGAGCTCTGAGCAACAGCGGTTCGATTCCCAGCCCGAGCTGAGCAGCCACTGAGCTGCCAACAGGTGGCAGGATGGCTCAGCTTAAAAACAAAACAAACAAACAAAAAACTTAAACTCCTTTTAAAAGATTGTTTGCGTAGGATTATGTCCCCACTATTGTCCCAGCCCCTATGCTCTCCCCACCCCCCTTTCTGGGCCTGGTGGGATAGGCCAGAGTAGCAGGGGTTTTCTGAGCTGGGACTGCAGTTTATGGGGCAAGGGTTCGTGCTGCAGGGGTTTGATATATTGGCCTAAGTACCAGGAAGGGAAAGGAGGACGCTTCATAGTAGCTGGAAATGATGCATCTCCTCTCCACAGTCTGTTTCATAAAACAACCTGCAAGAAAAAGAAACAAAAGTCTTGAATAGCTGCTACTAGGAAATTATATGGTAGCTCTGCTAAAAGAAAATTAACGCCAAATGAAGCATAAAAAAATGAACCCTACATTGAAAAGCCATGTTCCAATTCGTGTGTATTTCTTCCGAGTCCTGCCCCTATTACATTCTCAGCGTTCCAGTCTTTCTCCGGCATTGCATGAAGTCTCTCAGCAAATGCTCTTTTTTAGAGCATGCTTTCAATTTATACTTGAAGATGGAGGTTTGAGCTGAGTATTGCTGTGGAACACTCACACTCACCTAGAAACTCAGACCAAGGAAGTACTTATAGTCGGGAAAATGACAAGAGCGCCCTCTGAAATGACCAGTAACCCCCAACTTAGAAGAAATTACGTGGAGAAAACGGGAAACTTTTCTTGTTTAAAAAAAAGAGAGAAACCTGATCACTGCATTATATTGGGTTGTCAGAAAAGTCATGTCACATTTTTGCAACGAAAAACATAGAAAAAATACGTCATGACTTTTCCGACAACTGAATACTTGTATTTCTTTTGGCAGTGGATAGGCTTATTTGTCAGTATCAATAATAGTGGAAAGCAAAACATGGTGGACTTAAAGAATTTTTAACCTGTTTTGATGTTTCTAAGGCCCCAAAGACTATAATACCATTCTAATCAAATGGATGCATTTTCAGTGGGATTTCAAATTTTAGTCATAAGGCGATACTTTAATCTTCCTGAAGTATATTTCCTGTACCTACAAGTGTGCAAATAACATAATTTTTAAATTACTTGGAATTTTGCAAAGCATGAAAAATCACTTTTAAAATATATAAATGGATATGTTCATGTCTATTTACTTACTTAACATTAAGAAACACATAGTGCTTACTGTGTGTTGGGCATGGGTTTAAGTGTTTTATAAAAAAATTATTTTGATCCTTACAGCAATCGTATGAGCTAGGTACTGATCCCACCATTTTACAGTCAAGGAAGCTGAGGCACAGAAAATGGGTACAACAACATACTGAATTGCTAAGATGTATGTCGGAGTCAGTAAAATCAAAATAGGAACCTATGCAACTTTCGGTGTACCTGCTTCTGTCCTGAAAACAGTCTCCCTTGAACTTACACTTGCAGGCCTTTGTCTGGGATATAAGCCCCCAGAGGGATTGGGGTCCTGGGGCCCTGATGTTTGGGCTCCTGATGGATTGTGGGAATCTGTCTGGCAGCAAGTCTATAAGTGATCCTGTAAATGATGTTTATCAGATCCACTAACCTCATTAAGATATCATTTGCTGCTATAGAAAAGATTTTCCTTTGGAGATGAGTATACAACTTTTTCTTAAGACAGAATTAAGGTTTGTTTTTCCTATTGGCATAGCACTTCGTTTTCCTGGGACAGAAAACAAAGACAATAAAATCTGTCTTCTTATTGAGTGCTGACTCTGTACAGCTTTGCACTGGAAACCTCGCCTATGTTGCCTCAGCTGGTCACTCAGCCCAGTCATGTGTGTCCTACTGACCTGCTGTCTGTGATGACCTGAAACTGCAGGGGACGCCTGTCCATCTTTCTTGCTTGCTTAGGAAATCTTCCGGCAGTTGTCCTGAGAAGCTTCCTCTCTCCGGGCTGTACTGTCAGGTCCCCAGCAGTTGAATGCTCATCCAAGTGCAGTAGGAAGGGCTCAGGACCTGGGTCTGCCAACTTTTGCTGTGTGACCTTGAATTAGTGCTCTGAGCCTTATTGTTCTCATCTATGTATGAGAACAATACCCATTCATAGAGTTAGTCTGAGGATAGTTGGTGAAAAGCACTTTGCAAATGGTAAAGGGTTAAATGAATGTTATTTGTTATTGATGCTAATGATTATGACCATAAAGCAACAATAAGTGCCTACTCTGCTTTGCTTTATAGCCCCTTGAGGAATGCAAAAGAGTAGATGATACATCCCAACCCAATTCGGTTCCTAGCAGAAAAGATTCACATTAAGTGGCTGGACACCAAGGGCACCGAATTCTGGCTTCATGAGATGTTGTGAAGATTATTCAATTCAATTCCATTCTTTCAGGATTCTAGCAAAAATGGATTGTTTCCTGTTTGGGGAGCATCAAACAAAGATTTTGCAGAAAGAGGGCACCATCTTGTGGTCAGTGGGACACACTGACAGAAAAAAAAGTCCAAGAATCACACAGGGTTGAACAGTGGTTCTCAAAGCTACATGTTCCCAGGCCTAGGTCCCACCCCTGGAGAGTCAGATGCAACTGGTCAGATGGGGGGTCCCAGGATCAGTACTTATTCATGCTCCCTTGGGGTTCTCATGTGCAGCCTGGGTTGGTAACTGCCCAGGGCTCTTGCCCATGACCACACAGCCAGTAGGCACAGAGAGTTAGGCCTGCAGCTGGGTGTCCTGACTCCACACCAGAGCATTTCCCAGGAGCAGAGGCTGCTGCTCGGGGGTCCTGGACCCCAGGCATCCCAGGGCATCCTAGTGCCTCCCAGTGCCTGCTTCTCCTCCTTCCCTAGACTCTCTGGCCTGTCTTCTCACCCCAACTGGCAACAGCAGAACAGCTAACCCAGCAGCGCCTCCTTCTTTACAAAGCATTTGCTCCCACCGGTCATTTCATCCACAACATTTCTGAGGGAGGTGTGATTATCCCTTCGTCCTAGGAGGAAATGAAGCCCCCAGGTAACATAGCTGGGAAACACAGTCTTCTAGACCCGGATTCTGTGCTCCAGGGCCTTCTCCTGCTGCTCTGAAGCTTTTAGCGCTTTGCCCCATCAGCAGTGCTCTCTTTCTCCTCCAGCATCAATCAATTCTTGCTTCTCCCCTGCCTCTCACCTGTTTCTTCTCTGAATGCTTTGGCTCCTTTTCCTTTTTCTCACCCACTAAGTTCTTTCTTAGACCCATTAAAGATGATAATTATAAAAACAACGCCCAGCATTATACCAACTACTTTTATACATATCATCATCTTCAAATTCTTTTCTTGATTTCCACAGTTATAACAAATACCATCCAATGCCAATAATCCCCATCTCTGACTCCCCAGTCTCCTGTTCTGCACTTCCTACTGCCTATTGGATCTTTCTTCTTGAATGTTCTTTAAACTTAGTATGTCTAAAATGTTCTTTAAACTTAGTATGTCAAAAACGGCACTGACCTCAACCCAGTCTTCCATGCCCGCAATATCTTCTGGGAATGATATTGTCCCAGGCATGCATGCAGCTGCAATACTCTATGAATTGACAAAGCCCAGTGCCAAGGGCAAGAAAAGAAGGGATAGACATTAGAGTCACGTTGATGCATGATTGAGTAATGGTTCAAGTAAGTCTCAGCGCCGAACAGGACTTGATGGATGGTTAGTTATTGTAATGAATGGCAAACCTGACAATGTGAAGACAGGGGCAGTTAGCAAACATGACCCAGCACTCTGGGCCCTTCCCAAGTGTGTCTGCACTGCCCAAGTCAGGTCTGGAGTCTCCCCAGTACTCATTATCC